ATAGGAGAGAAGGAAAGACCCCACCCCCACCCCTCGCCGAGACCTGAAGGTACCTGGGTTTGAACTGATGAGAACCACCTTTACTTGGATTTCTATCAGGACAGGGAGACTGAAGGACCGCTCAGCATAGAGGTGAGGGAGTTGGTTACAAGAACTCCCACAGGTACAGTGGAAAACAAAGGGAGAAGGAAGCAAGGGAACCTTGGATCCCGGGAGAGAAAGCAGGAAGAAAATGAGTGCCTGCATTTCACAGGTAAGGGAATTAGATCTCAGGAAAGCTAAATGTCCTGCCCAACCAGGAAGTCAAAGACTGGGTTCTGAGGTGCCCAAGATAGTTCTCTGAGGGTGAGAAATCTCAGCTCCGAAGGCTAGAGGGAAGGATTACAGTTAAACAAAGAGAAAGTGATTAGACACACCTCTCCTATGAAAAATGTCCCCTGTGAGCATTCAGGGTGGAGGTGGGGAGGGGCGGGCAGGCAGGCTGTGGGAGAAGCAGGGCTCCCCAGGCGCCTGGAGTGCTCCAGCAAACATGTCTGTGGTCAGCACCCACGGGACCAGACAACTGGCGGAAGATGCAGAACACACACACAGAAAATTCTTTGAGAGGGAAAGGCTGGGTCCTAGGAAAAGACCCGGGACATTCTGGGGTTCAAAAGACGTGCACAGGCTTCATTCAACACAAGCAAGCCCGTCACCCGATGGGTCAAGGAAAGGCAGCCCTCCTAAAGTGGGGAGGGGGCCAGGAGCCCCGCCTGTCCGAAAGGGGGAGTGGGACTGAAGTCCTGAGACTGGTCACTGCTCCAAAGAGCACTGAGTGGATGAGAGGGCCACAGGTGGCTAAAATGTGCCCAAGTGGAAACCAGGAAAGGGATGGGAAGTACACACAGAGCACCACTCTCCCTCCCACGTGACAACCCCCAACAACCACGTGCACACCCCTGCCTGGTCGCAGTCACTTAAATCCCCCCATTAAGCCAAGTGCCTCTCCCTATGGATGAGTTGAAGTCACCTGAGACCACGTTCGCTACCCACTGAAATGCTAGGGGCTTCCCTCTAAGCGCTCTGCCCAGCCTCCCCCTCCCCCATTTCCAGGAAGAGGGAGCCAGCAGCAGGCAGGAAAGTGGCCGCTCATGGGGCCAAGTGCTGACACTGGGACTGGGTAAGATCCCCACCCCCACGACCTCAGCAGCAGGCCTGAGGGCTTAGGTGCCGCACTGGGTCCCAGCCAGCCGCCTGGGAGTTCATGACACAAAGATTAAGACAAAAGCTCAAGAACACTCCTTTTCTGACTCCCTGCCCCTCCTCCATCCACCTTTTAGAAAGGACAGAAGAGGAGGGGAGGAATCTGAAGACAAGGCTGGGGAAGAGAGACAGAAAAATCACTATAATTTTACTGCAAGAACTACAGCAATTTGGGATCTCACACCCTTTTGAAGTTCAAGGGCATCCACCACACGGTACTTTGTTTGGGAAGCAATGAAATGGGTGGGCGGGCACTCTGGCAGCTGCCTTCACCATCCTGAGCACCTTCCTACCAGCCGACCTCAAGCTGAGGGACGCTGGGCCGTCCTGGCACCTGCCTGGCTCACAGCTGCTCAGAGCTGAGCAGGGCCGGCTACAGCCCTCTCCTCTACGCCCCCTCCACCCTCCCTCTCCCGCCCCCGAGCCAACCCACGGCTTCCAAATGGTTCAGCACCCACAGCCCCTGGAAAGAACACTGCCAACCACCCATCCGCGCCCTGGCTGGGAAGGAAGGCTCTTCCTAGCAGAGTTCAGGGCAGCAGTTTCCCTGACAAGCAAAGCAAGAGAAGGGCTGTGAAAGGGTCAGCGGAAGTTCCCTCGCTTCAAATCTTTCCTGTTTCCTCTCACCCCTGCTTTCCCCACCACTGGACGCAGCATGGTCTACAAGTGGTGTGCCTAATCTGGTTGGAATTTCCTCCTCCACCCACCTGGCATTCTCCCCACAGTCATGAGCACTCCCGACCAGGGGTTCTCACATCCACCCCAAGTGCTGGGCTAGGCCACCTCGCTGCTTGGCACTTTGGCACTTGCCACTTCGGAGCACCAGGAAGAAGGGCATGGGAACCCTGCTGCAAACCCCAGGTGGGGAGGAGCAAGTAGCTGCTAACCATTTGGAGAAGCCCAAAGCCCGAGGGAGTGGAGTGGCCGTGCTCTCTCCCTCGTGCCGCCACCGTGGGGACTCAGAGCTGACGGGAGAAAACAGGCAGCCCAGAGTCCCGGGAGCCTGGCCCTTCGCAGATGAGTGAACACTCACATCCCACCACCGTGAAACGAGGAGAGGACACGGAAGGGGCAGGAAAGTTGCCGAAGGTCTTCCGACACCCATTTAGTAATCGCAGGCTGATGCCAGCGGGAGCCCAGGGATTAGTATCATCGGGTTCAGGGTCACTCATGTTTTGGCCATAACCCCCGGCCAAAAAAGCACTTTACACAGCCACTCAGGAACACACACACACACACACACACACACACACACACCAGAGTTTCATGGAGCAATACTTCCTGCATGCCATGCACGCTTATACCCTGTCCTCACCCATCTGTCATTTTTAAAATGTTGATCCTGCTAATGGGTCACCTCCAAAGTTTAAAAAACACAGGGGTGGGATGGGAATAGTATTGAATATTACAATTTTAAGCATCAGCGAGGCTAGACTTCGGACCTATAACCATAAAACCAAGCGGTTTGCTTGAGCTCTATAGTCCACACTATCTAGGACAGAAACATTGGAAAAAGCAGGCCCACCCACCACTCATTTAACTTCACAACATCAAAGTGAAAAATCAAAGAAAATGCCTTAGAAAAAAACAAAATATTTCTTCCAAGATGCAATTTACGTTGATGTGGCTTCAGTCGACATAGTTATCTGAAATTTCAAGTAACATAAAAGAGGACAATGGGTGCTCTGTGTTTACAGAAAGTGGGGGGGGGAGGTAAGGTTAAAAATGGGGAGAAATACTGAACTGGTCCCCAGCCCCCATTTTATTTACCAGTGACAAAACTAAGAGACAGAACAGCGCCTAAGGCATGAAGCAAGTTTAGGGGCAGGGCTTGAAATCCAACCCCAGGCTCCTGACTCAATTACTCACAGCCTCCATTATCCAAAATATTTAAAAACACACTCAAGGTCTCTCCAAGTGAAGCTTTGCCATGACTGAAGCGTGGAGAGGCCCTGATAACTCACGGTCGGCGCAGACAACCGTGCTGATCTTGGCAGACCTTGGCACTCCGCGCAGCCTCGCTGGGGTCCCACAAGGGGCTCACACACTTAACTCTCTCTGTGCCTCTTCTCAGAGAAGAATACGCCTTGGTCAAGCCCCATAAGGTAACAGCCAAACCAGTTCCTTCTTCACACACTATATTAACCCGTCCACTGGTGAAAACTGCCACAGAAAGTTACACAAAATACCGGCCTCTAAGGGGCAGGAGGAGGGGTAGGGAGGAAACTAAACACAGATCACACAATTTTAATACATGGGACGAATGCCTCTTTACAGTGTCCAAGGGAGCTCAAAAGGCATGACTGTTTCTCCGCTGATCCCAAAGGTAAGCTGAAATGATGCTCTGAACCAAACTCGGAGCACAGAGGCCAAGGCCTCGAAGTGGTATGGTTCCTTGCGGCAACATTCATCTCCCTGCCCCAGTGGGTCTGGTGCCTGCTCAGATGACATCTCCCTGCTCCTCACTTTCTACACTCTGTTTTTTTTTGTCCAAGGCACTTGAGACAACAGCTTCAAATATGGGGAATTTTATTACATGGGAGGGATTCTTTCCTATACAAATGCCACCTGGTATCTGTCCAGGGTGTTTGCCGGAGGAGCTCTGTCAACCTAAGAGACAAGACCTCCCCCACCCGCTCCGTAACCCTGGCAGGCGAGGACCATTCCTCTAATTCCCCGCGGGGACACTGAAGGGGCAGAAAGGGTGATGGCTCAGGCCCAGTGGCACAGACTCTCACCTTACCATGGAAACCCATGCCATCTCTCACTGGACTTGTGCCGCTCCAGCCACGGACTGCCAGCTCTGAGAGCCGCCCAGGCCAGGGAAACCCTCTGAGTTAGACATTCTGGCCTTCACACAGCTCACGTGGGGCCAGCATCAGCAATAAGATACAGCCGGGAAGGGGGGGAGGGAGGACTCTGTGGGCCTGCCATTCAAGGTAACTGCCACCCAGAGAGGCCCCCAATCTTCCAAAGCACCGTGGGGCTGGAATCAGGGGATGAAAGTGGGCAAGTTAATCAGTTCACCTCTCTGTGCCTCGGTTTCTCCATCGGTTCATGGCCAGGGTTGCTGTAGGAATTAGATGAGTTATGCCTGCACAAATGCAATGTGTCAGTAGTAGCATTACTTCCCTGCACTAGTCTATCCCCGAGGCATGGAGTGTCCTGAACACACTGACAGCAGCTCTCTGTCAGACAGACAGTATCTGCCTGGCTCAAGCTGCCTCCTTATAGGAACGCGTTAAAAACTACCTGGCGAAGTGTCGGGCAAACTGAGCGCCTATTACACAACCCACAGTCAAGGGCTGCGTAGCACACCCTCTCCCCACCTGCCGGCCTCCCTGACACAAAAAGAGAAGGTCTCGCTGCCTCCCTGCTGCTCCGCTGCCCAAACTCCAGGGGAAGAAGAGCAGAAACACTAAGGGAAGGGGATCAACAGGGCACCGCCGAACCGGCACCCCCAAGAGAGCCGCCAACACCCAAGAGAACCCCTGCCACTCCCTAGACCCCCAAAACACCCGGGGAGCAGAAACCACACGCCGGGGACGGCGGGCGTCCACACGCAGGGACGGGAAGGCACGCGGCCCGTCGGGAGACACGTTTCTC